TTTTTGGTTTCGCCTCTGTGCTAGAAATTGGCTCTAAAACCTTCTAGTTACACAAACGGAACGGTTAATATTTTTTTCAGGCTCTAAAAACAATTTAAACATTTCCAAACGTTTTTTGTTTGCTCAAACGTTTGATTTCCAAAGTTTTGCAAATCATTTCAAGCTCTGAAAAATACCTTTCAAAAATTTTTGAGTGTTTGAACTCCTTAGTTTTCTTGAAAAAATTTAAGACCCTCCCAAGTAGACTCAATCTAAAAAAATTATTAAATTTATGAAATTTTAGCTCCTCAATAATTTGCTTGAAAACACATTTTTTTTCGAGTTGATTTTTTTCACTAAAAAATTTTAAAATTTTGTAAACAACGGTTTTCTTTTTTAAAATGAACGAGCTTGAAAACTTTTTGCCAATTCGCGTTACAAACTTAAATGAAATATAAAGTTTCATTGCTTGATGAGCTTGCTCATAAAAACATGAATTTTAGTAACCAATTTTAGTAACCGAAGGAGCCAGAAACTTCTTGACTAACTCATTGTTTTGGTGGTTGACGAGCTTGCTTGTTTAGAAAAACTTGCTTAAGCATGCTATGCAATATATGAAGTATTTCGATATCTTACTGCTTGATCAAACTGATCATCAAAATTTTGCTTTTGCTAACCAATTTCCGCTATGAAAAATTTTGAAAGATTTTAGAATTTAATATCTCGATGGGCTTGCTTGAAAATTTTTCTTTTTTCCTAAACGTGTCATCCTTAGAAGTAGATTGAAAAGTTTCAAAGTTTCATCTCTCGATAAACTTGCTGGAGACCTAAGCTTTTCACGAACACAAAAATGGTGTGAAATGGTTCGAAAATTTTAAAAATGTCATCTATCAATGAGCTTGAATAAAATTTTTTGCTAACCTGTAGAGCTGTGATTTATCTTAAAAGATTTGAAAATGGGCTTGGTTTGCTCGAAAATTTAATTTTCTTGCGAAACCAATCGCACTCTGAAATCACATGAAATATTTCAAAGCTTCATTTCTTAATAGACTGGGCTTGCTAGAAAACTTCATTATTTTTAAACGAATCATGTTCTGGAGTAAATTAAAACGTTTCAAATTTCTGATAGTTTGGTCTAGCTTGAAAACTTGGTCTTGCTTTGTAAAACAAATCACGCTCTGAATTGACTTGAATTTTTTCAAGTTTTGACTTCGTGATGGACTGATTTTGCTTAAAAACTTGAATTTTTGCTAACCGAATTCAGAATTGAAATTTAGCATGATTATTTTCGAAGGTTTTTTGTTCAATAACTAATTAGAAAAAGTGTAAGTCTTTGATGAGTATGCTCAGCTTGAATAAATACTTTTATATATTCCAAAATTTTGCTGCTCAATGCTTTGCCCAAAAACCTTGAATTTTTTGCGAACCGATTATTTTGTTTGAAAGATAGTTTTTTTTCTAAGATAAACGCGTTTGAAAACAGGCTGAATAAGCTTCTGCAATAACAATTCGCGCAAAAAACATCTGAAATACTTCAAAGTTTCATAGATTAATGAGCTTGCTCAAAAAATTCAAAAGTTTTAGGAACCGATTAATGCCATAAAATTACATGAAAAAATGAGGTTACGTTGGCCGATGCACCTGCTAAGAAAAACATTTGCAAACCGATCTAAATTATGAAATAGCTGTGAAAATTTTCAAAAATTATTGCTTGATCAGACTAATTACCAAAAATTGATTTTGGTTCGGCGGGTTTGCACTATGAAACAATTTAATAAAAAATTTCATATAGTAAATATGACTGCTCGTATATCAGGGCAAAGCCCTGAATGATCCGTCTGTCCCTTAATTCATATCAAATAGTATTTGGAAAAAGAAATTAATCAAAACCTATACGTTTTAGACATATCAAAGTGTAAAAATTTGAGTCGAACGAAATTATTACGACCAATTGGCTAGCCTCAGTTCAATTTGAAACGATTTTGTTCTGCGAGATGTTTCGCCGGGCATAAATAATTTGCGTTAAGCTCTCTGCATTTTGAATTAACTTTTCAAAGCGCGCATAATTTACTCCAGAACATGGCAAAGTTGCGATTTTCAAACCCCCATAATTTACAAAAAATAATCGGAGGTGAACCTAGGAAGTCGATATCTTCAATGAGGTATAACACATTTTTGTTGAAAATTTTTCTTTCGATCCGTCAAAATTGACTGAATAAAAAAACACACCGAGCATAAATAATCCGTTTTGTTCGAAAGTCAATAGTCGGATAAAACTGGCAAAAAAGCAGTTGGTTGGCAGTTTTTTTACAGGTAGCAGTAAACCGCGACGATGGATTGTTTGCAAGGAAACTTACCTAAAAAACCATGCCCTTAACATAAAATAGGTTTGGTATAAAATTATTAATCCAACTAGAGGACAACAACATCAGACTAGATATCTTGCGACAAGTTTTCAAGTTTGCTGAGAGGCACGAATTATCTTTACTTCCCTCGAACCCAAAGAATTGCTTCCTCTCTAATTTATGACCGGTGGTGCTAAGTTTTTAATTTCCAGTTTCTGCAAATTGTTAACTTCTGATGTAATCACCTAATTTGGTATCTAGTGTTAGAAAATTTGCAGGGAATTGTTTCGCACATCTGAGGACGTGCGGCTTAAAATCTCCGGATCGTAGATTAGCAAAAGAAAGTTTTCATTCTCAAGGCTTTTCTCAATTTCGTTTTTCTTAGAATTAGTTTTTGTGGTTTTTTCACTAGGTCTTACAAAGCGCAGCTTCGCCTCTGTACTATAAATTGGCTCTAAATCCTTCTAGTTACACAAACGGAACTGTTAATATCGAAAAAAACTTAATTTAATCTTCATCAAAACTTGTTTGAATCATTTTCAAAATGTTTTGCTTTCAAATTGAAAACATTGTAATATTCAAAATCAACCGTTTTTGTAAGAAATGAGGACTTTATTCGCTTAATTACGCAAATTGTTAATGAATAAATGATTTTTAAGTAGCCAACTTTATTAACGAAAAAAGTCAAAAATCATCAATAGCAGCCAAAAATGAAATTTTTCTTTGTCATCCGTCATCATCATCATAAAAAAAACACCTTTTGTATACAGTATGTTTTTTTTCAAGTTTACTAATTTTGTCTCAACTCATTGAATTTAAAAAGATTGATGGACTTGATGTCTGAATCAAATTTGATTTTCCACGCTGAAAAAAGCTTATTCTAGTGAGTAAACTAATTTGGTAATTTTAATCTAACATTATCAATCCGATCTTGGACAGTGGGGGAAAAATTGCCGTCACGTTTTTTTTGTTTTTTTTTCTAGTTTCACTAGAAATTTTCTACTTTTTTAAATTCGAAATTAGGCAGCAAAAATTACCAGAATGGATTCAATGATATGTCCCATTAAGTTCACTTAAGTCGTGGTTGGAACGAAATCAAAGTATAAGATTTTCATTATAAGTTTAGAAAAGTTGGTCGGAAAAATTATTGAAGCAAGTTCAAAATTTTCAAGAAGTTTATTCCTTTTTTCTAGAAAATTGTATCGAATTTTTTCTTTGTCAAATCTAATTTTGAGCGAGTAATTGTTATGTGAAAATTCGTTTATTTTTTCAAAGTAACGTGCAATTTTAATGGTTTTGAAGCGAGTAAAGCAAGCTAGTGACGTTTGGTAATTGAAAAATGGTTTTTTCAAAAAATGAATTTATCTCCAGAAATTAATTTGCTGAGAATAGCTGCAAACAACATTAGATGTTTTAGTAAATTGTAAGCGCTTGTCTTTTCTTTGATCACATCGTGTACAAAAATTGACACAAAAATCTTAGTTTCTTATTTAAGATCAAGACCAGGATTTTCTGTGCTACTCGTGTTTTACTATATGAATTTCGATGATATATCTATTGTTTTGATCAATATGGTAGAGTGGATGCAAACAACATCCCCAATATCCTCATTTCAGGTTTTTCTCATAAGTCGGAACAAAAAGAGAAACGTTGCACTGAGTTTTTTTGACCAAGAAGGTTCAATCAACGGAGATTTTTATAAACAAAAATAAGGTAATACGAGATACCTAATTGATTGAGTTTTCAGAACTAGTAGATATTGGGCGTTGAAAGGGACTGCAGAGAAGTTTTGAGTGTTCGAATGTTGTATTAAATATCAAAAGTGGGGCCCTTTGAATAGTAAGCAGGCTTAACCCCCCCCCCCCCCATTTTTTGCCCCTGACAATACTGTCATTGTTTTCAATGCATCAGAATTGATTTTTTTTCTATGTTGAGATCTTTTTCCCCAATCATCAATTGCGAACAATAAAAGAGGGGAAGAGCTTTGAAACTGAACAATGGCTGGGCGGAAGATTTTTGCAGTTCTAGTTTTTGCAGGACGTTTCAGTAGAGTTGTTTTTTGTGGAATGAAATATTCTCTACACAATAGTTCTTAAACCTTCCTCATATATCCTTTTATTCGCACCGCGAAAATTTCAATTTATTTAAAAATCAAAACTAATATGTTTTTTTTTCCCGCTCTGTAATAGCTAGCAGCTATATGCATATAGTCTTGGACAAAATATTGAGTTTTATCTTAGCACCTTTTTTTCTGGGTCAAATTTCTGTTCAATATTTAAACACCATTAGCAGCTGACTAAATGATTTTTCATCTTGAAAGGAAACAAACCATCAATCATCGAAAGATTTTAAAAGCATCAAATACCACTTTGTTCATATTTTCAGATGAATTAGAAAAAAAGAAAGTGAAATCCATTATAATATAAAACTGTCGTTTTTGCTTGAGGTCGCAATTCAAATAAGCGTTTTTTAAAATTCGTTTTTTTTTCTTGCCCACAGTACTCATCAGGAGTTACCGTAAAAATATAAGCAGAATTTGAAACTAGAAAAATCTGAATAGCTAAAACTTTGTTCGAGATCATTGATGTATTTAATTCAAAAACTTACGTTTTTTTCCTAGCATAATTATTAACTTTGATCCCCAAAAATAACTATTATTACAATTTGTCTGATATTTGGTTTTATCGGCAGAATTTCTTATCGATTCTTCTTTTTTGTCCTTTTGCGCAGACAAAATTTCCATTTGATCGAAGAATTTTAGAAAAAAGCATTCAAAGACGCTCCCTATCTCCTCATTGATTTTTGTAACTGATTCGGAAAAAAAACACGACAATTTTGCAGCAGGTTTGTGTTTTCTTTAACCCGACTTTAAAAACCCGACTTTTTCTTTTAAAAAGTTAGCTTTAGCAATAGAAAAACTGCTTTATGTCTTTGCGTTTTGTTTTGTCTTATACTTAAGTTCTAAAGACCCTTGTTTTGATGGAAAATTATTCAGTGTTAAAAAATCAAAAAGTCTCAACGGTTCAGCCTCTCTCTGATTAAATGAAAAAAAGTCTGAAAAATCAAAACAATTAGGCCCCCTTTTCTGTACCTTTGATTTCCTAAACATATCAGGCGAGTATTTCTACTTGCAAAAGACTTAGAAACGCCGGACAAAAAGATCGGTAGGAAAAACGGATTCTTTTCGCTTTCTCTTTTAAAGTCTAATAGTAAAACTCCCATAAAGTCTCTAAAACAATTAAATATTTAATTTAGAGCATCTTTAGCCTGAAAATTATTATTAAAAATGAGGTTCAACAAACTACGTGTCGGCCTCATTAGATACTACTTCAAAACTATTTAAATGAACAAAGTCAGCATTCGATGTAGCCAATCAGAAATACTTCTGTAAAAAGAGATCGTCAGCGATTAAAGACTTTGCTTCGAGTAGTTAATCGGTTTCGCGGGGGTTTGGATAAAATTAAGGGTAGCAAAAACCGGTAGTTTTCCGCTCGCAAGGCGTATTTTTTGGAATTCAGCAACATTAGTGAAATCTCTTTTCCGGCAACCAATGAAAACTTAACAACTGGTAAACGGCGTCCAAAGTATTCATTGCTCCAATTTTCGTAACGAAAGTAACGGAAGATGTGTGCTCGGGTTGCGTTTTTTTCTTCAGACAAATGTTGACTTTTAAACTAGCCATTTTTGACAGAAGTTTTTTATTTCATTCAAAGGTATTCTTGTCCTGAGCTTAAATTTGAAAAGATATTTTATCTGTGATAATTTTTTCACCCCACGATAATTAACCACCTATGTTTACATTCCCTACTTTATAACTTCGTAACAAGATAACCCCACAACAATTTAACCCCCTTTAATGACAATAATTTGTTTCAAATTAACTTCTTTTATTAAGTTTTTTTACACTCATAGTAGTATTATAATGAGGTGTACTAATTCAGGCCAGAGAAGCCATTCTTAATTCACTTCATTATTTGTCGGTCAAAAATAATTGCATTTCGATTAGCTTAAGAAATAATCCCTCATTCACGCGTTTAAAACAGAGATAACCTACATGGTGGTAATTGAAGGCAACAAAAAACGTTTGTGAGTTTTATAAAAAAAAAAACTCATACTGCCTATTTGTTTAACCATTGTCATACCATTCCATCAAATATAAAGTTTGAAGCGTCTTTCCATTTTATTTTATTTTCGAAAGACAAACAAATGATAGCGGTATCTGGCCACAAGTGTTATCTTACACGCAAAAACAAGACAACTAGTTTTGAAAAACATCAAGGATCTGAGCGATAGTAAAAACCCAATCATCGCAATCGCAACCGCATTTCATTCCATACCAGATGACAGTGCCACTCAACTAGCCCTACCAACCAAAGACAATTTAGCTTGCACCGCACAACGAGCGCGCGCAAGCAACGAGAAGAAGTCTCAGCAGTCTCCTCAGCAAACAGAAGTTTCGAAATACCCGATCTTTTCAAAAACTTTATAAGATTAATAAGAGTGGGCAAAATGATCGCAAAATGACATGGGCAAAATGATCAGAGGATTATTTTATTCGGCGACACTGAAATGCTACGTGTGCTTGAAAAATCCAACTTTTAGTTGGCTGACAAAAATTTGAAAGTCACCCCGAAATTATTTTATCAACTTTACTCGATAGATTTAGTCTTTCAGGAATAGCCCCCGCTTGCATATATGCGTTACCGCCAAATAAAACAGAAAAAACCTAGCACCGTTTCTAAGAAGCCCTCAAAGTACTAGCCATTGATAGTAGACCTGAAAAAAAATTGCTGGATTTTGAGCAGGCCGTTCAGAAAAAGTCATGGCATACAAGCATTATGGCATACAAGTCCTAAGTTTCAATTTGATTCTAACAATTGGTAGTAAAAAAGGGTTATTTTGTAGTGGGGTTATCTAATTTTGGGGTTATATGAGAGGGGGTTAAGAAAAAGGGTTAAAAACACGGGATGATAAGCTTGAGAAACCATTTTTCGTGAAGTTATGGGGGTTTAAAGATAGCCAATTTTTTCGCGCTATTAACGCGTAAGTGGAGATTTAATCGGTCGTAGGAATCGTTCCAAATTGGTTGAAAGAAGCTTATTTGTCATAAATGATTTGTTACAAGGAGCGAAATCTATCCTTTTTGTACTTTATATGGCGTGTGGGGAATGATTTTCTCTAAAAATCTCAAAATTTAGAGAAAAAAAATTAATTTTATTTTATTACTTTTGATTTTTTTAATGTTATTACTGCTCCATAAACCTCAAAAAGCAGTCGGAACATTCAGGGCTTCAGTTTGATACGAGCAGTGTCGTTTCAGTTTCTTTGCTAATTCAGCTAAGAAATAAGAATAAGAATTAAATGAAAAGTGTACATTGTCCTTTCAATATAAATAAAATTCATATTTTGTTTCAATCAGAACATACCATACCCACTTTCGTAAGAAAGTCATAAAATTACAGGGTGCGATTATAAATTATTGAAGTTAATTTAATAAAAACTTCGATCAGTTATATCACATAGCTTGAGGTCATTTGTATGTTAGTTTTGCATGTATTTGATAGATATAACTAGTGTATAAATGCACATGGTTCAGGCAGTTACTGAGGTAAATTAAACCATTTAAAAGATAGGTTTGAACTTAGGACTACTTTGGCAACAATTTGTTTGAGGCAAGCTACTTGGAACTAATAATACGCGCTCATTGGAGTTTCAAAGATATTCATCAATTAAATTGAGTTTAAGTTGTGAGTCTCAAAAATTTTCAGTTATTATTTTTTTCAAATTATCTCATTTCCTGTTTAGTGCAGTTGCGGAAAAAATTTGTACCAGTTGCGTGCAAAATTAGGTACCACAAATAATCATCGGAATGATTCATGTGATATATCATATCAAAGCCTTTTTATTCATGATTCGAATTACAATAAAAAACGTGTAAAAAAATTCTCTGCGTCTAGAAAAACTGATATGATAATTTTTTTGTGTCGAAAAAAATGGTTTGAAAACCGAACCGGTTTGGTCTAATATTTAACTGATAAAGCTTGTCAAAAGGCAGTTTGCAGCTTATTTAAGCTTGTCTATTTTTATCACTGAATGTGTTTCATTTTCTTAACAATTTTTAAAAGATTTTCTTGATGTTTTTTTTTCCAAAAACTGTTTTTCATTTGTCCTATTTTACTATGACTATCGAATAGAATGGATGAGCGCGGAGGGCTATGAGTCAGCGTAAATTTCACCGCCTCTTCTAACCCCCTGCCAATTTTACACCCCCTGCCCCTCCCCGCCCAGTTCAATGGTAAAAACTTGAGGGATGGGAGTGGGGGTAAACTGTAAACTGGGGTGGGGGAGGTGAACCAAAGGGCAATCAAAAAGCAGCCAGAAAAAAAGTTTGTGAATTCTAAACTTTGTGCCAGAGTTTGTGAATTGATTTTGTTTTTTTTTGTTTCATTTTGTTTATTAATTAGTTACAAATTTATCTTAAGTATGTCCTAGTTCTGCAGAAATAGGTAACAAGCTGAATAGGTAATTTTTATGCAGAAAAGAATAATTTATAAGGGGTTTTTGTGCAGAAAAACGAGCATAACTTTCTTCTACTTAAGTAAAGAAAAAAATAGAGAAAAAAAGTACTACGTTTTTTTGGTATGGAAAAGATTTGAAAACCATTATGATCCACCAAAAACTAGATTATGAAAGTAATTATAATCCATTAAAAATGAAATGATATTTAATATTTGGCATCTATAATCGATCATATTGTTCAATACTTTTGTCACTGAAATTCCATTATAATCGATACTTATCGGTGAACTCCAGGGCTAGACGCTTATTAAATCAATTTTAAAGTAATTTTTTCTCTCTTTTTTGTATATTTACCAGTTCTTAAGTTTATTTTTTATTCTTCATTCCTTGGACCTTCATAGTGGCAGTCGGAACATTCAAGGCTATGCCTTAATAAGAGCACTCTTGGTCACTTTTATACTTCCCTTTGTTTGATATTTTTGTAAATTTCTACTGTACGATGTTTTCAGAATATTATATATTTCAGTCTAAATAGTAAAATTAATTAGATTTTACGCTCAGTGGCTTGCGCAGAAATTTTTCCAGCGCTGCGGTTTTTCGAAAAAAATTTTGAAAAGTTTATTGACTTTTTTTGTAGGTCGACCAATTTAATTTATTGAGTTCTCCGAAAAAAAGTACTATAAGGACTCTACGTCAAAAAATTTTTGCGCCCACAGGCAAATTTAAAAAACATCAGGCTGAAATGGACGTGTTGAGCGTTTTTAAACATTTTTACACCCCCCCCCCCCCCCCCTCAAACGTATTTATATTGGCACCGGAGGCCTTTAGAAATTTTTTTATATTAGTCAGCCAAAAATAGGGACGGGGACCCTTTGGAAAAATTTGACAACCATAATTGAGTCGCCATCCTTCGCCACAGTCCCGCCACCCTTCGGTATAAAAACAGTACCCCCCACTCCCCACCTCACATCCTTCGGCACGCTACTGAGTGCGCTCATAACACGCTTATCTTTCCGCAGCACGCAAGGTAGCTTGCACGCAACACACATCTTTTTTTTGCAGAGTTTTACAATGTGGATTACCGTGTTGTTCACAGTAATTTTAGTGACCCCGGTTTATGCTAAGATATCTGGCCTGAAATGAGGTCTTTCTGTTCATAGGGATTGTTTCATTGTCGCCGTAGCTTAGTACAAAAAGTATAATTCTCAACAATATGTTTCAGTGCAGGATATTTTTCACCACTTGTGAATATAGTGCCGGGTTTAAGAAGCTCCAATTTGGCAGGCGTGTCCAGAGGGGAACTAATAAAAAAGAAAGTCTAGTTC